TCACCCTTTGCACTGTGGGAAAGGCATATGGAACATACCAATTTTCCCCTTTCCCTCAAAACTGTAGTTGTCTTTAATCTTTCTAACCATTTTTTAAGGTCTGAAAAAGCTCGAGGAGTGACAGAGAGCAGGCAATCTTGGAGAAAGAGATGCCCCAATGGGGTCAGGGTGGAAGGTTTCTATTACCCTTGGGCAAGGAAGGGGGATAGGGTTGTCCTCAGCCTCTGAAGCTCTTGAGGTGACTACTGACACAGCTCATCTTTGTCTCTCCTCTCCACATAGCAATATGATTGGGGGTTTTCTTGGTCCTCTAAATAACAGGAACTTGGAGAGGGGAAAGCAGGGAAACAGGTGGCCAATGAAGATGAAATACTGTAGCCAAGATGTAAATGGGAGAGGTAGAGCTTGAGGCCTTTGTAGTTCACAAGGCCTTTGTATTTGAACTTTTCTGCCTCAGTAGTGGTAGTAGTAGTAGTGGCAGCATTAGCAAGACCAGAAAAGGTCATGTTACTAGAAGAAATTATAGTATTTATTCATATTATTGCTATTATCACTGCCATTATATTGAAATATAGTTATGCTTCCACCACATTTTCAATTGTGAACTCCTGAAGAAGAGGGTCCAAGTCTTGTTCATCACTATATGGTCAGCATCTAGAACAAGGATGGGGAACCATTTTTCTGCCAAGGGCCATTGAGATACTTATAACTGTTAGGTCGGAGAGAGCCCAGGATCGAGCCCAGGATCGAATACATGCAGGCATGTGATGAGACAATGGACTCCCCCTGGAATTTCTCACAGACCTGGGATTTCTCACAGGTCAACGTGCCAGACACAGATGGCTCCTTCTCCCTGAATTCACAGCGATCCCCACACAGATACTGACCCATTCCTGAATGTGCCGCCCACCCCCTGCGGCTGAGACTCCCTCAGTTGAATGTGTGATGATCCCTGCTGAGGACACTTCCTCAGTTCAGGCCCCCGCCCTCACCCAACCGCAGTATAAAAAAAGCGCCCCCCTCCATGTTGGCGTGAATCCACGTGCCCTGTCTTTGTGGGTACGTGGGTCTCCCGGGGACGCAGAATAAACTTTCCTTTCCTTTCTTTTCTGATTCACTGGACTCTATTTCTTGCGCCGCCTCCTGAGCCACCTAACCTAACATTTGGTGCCTTGAAACCCGGGTGGCGCGAGCACTCCATTTGGCCGTCCCTCCGCGGCTCGGGGTGCCCGCCTCTCCCTCCTCGTGGCTCTGGACCCATCAGGACCTCATTTCTTCAGCTCGGCAACTTTTCCCAATTTGGCAGCATCAGCGGTGAGTCCCGCCCCGCCCCAGTGCCCGTTCCTCGTGGCCGCCCGCCCGCCGGCATCTCTGTTCGTAAAACTCGGCCGAGTCAGGGATCGCCTCTCCGGAACCTTCCAGGAAAGGTCCTTCAGACCTGGGAAGGTAGAGGGACGCCTCTACCCCACCCACGGTCCCTCTGTCTGTCCGTAGCGCAAGTCAAATCGCTAGGACGCTAGCTTTTTGGCCCCGCTACTGGCCACGGGGAACGGACCATGGGCAATCAAAATTCCAAATCTGACCCGACCACACCTCTAGGGTGTCGGCTCTCCGATCTGGCTAAACACGGGGCCTGTCCCGGACCTGCGTCCTTTTTCTGTAACGTAGCATGGCCTCAGTCTGAAAACGGGACCCTGACTTTACCGTCGCACCGATCTCAGTAATTTCTGCCAGCAAACTGGGAAATGTGACCACATCTCTCTCTCTCAGTCTCTCTCTCTCAGCCTCTCTCTCCATCTCTCCTGCGTCCCCGTCCCTCCCCCAAAGTTCTTTCCGCCATCTCTCCTCGCTCTGTCCGTCCCCCTCCCTCCGGGCTGTCCCTACGCTTCCCCCACGGTGCACCACCGAGCCCGCGGTGTGTGCGGTGCGTGTGGGGGTGGGTTCATGTGCTGTGTGAGTGGCGGCAACGGCACCGCCACCATCCCGCGTTCTCCCAGCCCTCCACGGGAGACCAGACCACCGCGAACTTCCCCCGGCAAAAGCCGCCCATTCTCCTGCCGGCCTTGTGCCCCTGTCCGTCCGCACTCTCCCCTCCTCCCTCCCTGCTGGACTCTCCTCCAGCCACGCCTTCTCCACCGCCTCCTGATCCCGCCTCCCCTCTTCTGCCCGCCCCGCGGCGGCCGGAAACTCAAACCGCCTTTTACAACCCCATGCCCCTGCACGCTGCGCCGCCAATGCCACTGCTGCCGCCGCGCGCACTGTGCCCCATTCCCCGTTCCACCGCCGCGCGGTCTGTCCGTCTGCCTGCTCTGCCCCCACCGCCGCCGCTAACGCCGTAGCCGCTGCGCGAGCCGGAAACTCAAGTCCCCTGCCGTCCCTCCCCTGCCTGCCTCCCCAGTAGGCACACAGGCGTCCACTGGCTCCACCTTCCTTCTGTCCCTGAGCCTTCGTTCTGCCCCGCCCCTGGGAGGTTGCGACTTTAAACCGCAATTGAGAAGCACCTGGTGTCTTTCTCCGCCAACCCCACTGTGTGCATCAAAGAATTCCAGTGCCTCTCCCACGCCCACCCAGGCCACCTCTCTTGCTCTCTCCCCTTCCCAAAGGAACTGCCGAATGTCCTCCCCCATGACTGCCAGCACTTTAAATTCACAGGTGGCCGGCCAGTTCCCTTTGCAAGAGGTTGCAGCTGGGCTCTCTTCAGACCCTTTTAACAAGCAGCTTCCTTCTCCCCTAGAGCCCAAGTCCTGAGAACGTTAGCTCCAGAACAGCCTCTTCCATTTCTCTGCCCATTCTACCCCTGAGGGAAGCAGTGGGGACTGAGGGCATAGTCTGAATCTATGCCCCCACTCCCTAAACCCGACCTTTAAGGTCTTTATTAGTCCTCAAACCCAGGTCCGAGATCAAGTGAAAAATGGCCTTGAAAGTTCTTAATGCCCGTGAGGAGCTGGCACAGTCATAATGGCAAGCCTGCCTTCCACAGAAGGTGAACCTGCAGACACGCCTTAGTGGCCCTGTGGTTGACAGCAGCCGCCATGGCCCCAAGGGGGCCGTGAGCGGTGGGGTGCAACGAAAGGGACGCACACCGCCTGGAGAATGCTTCAAATGCGGAAATGAAGGCCACTGGGCAATGCAGTGCCCCTGGCCCCGGGCTCCCGCCAAGCCCTGCCCGGCGTGAGGTCAAATCTGCCCCGGAAATGAAGGCCACTGGGCAATGCAGTGCCCCTGGCCCCGGGCTCCCGCCAAGCCCTGCCCGGCGTGAGGTCAAATCTGCCCCTGGAAAAGTGGCGGGCCTTCTGCGCCTCAGCGTAGGAGGGCCACCCTTCCAGGCCATGACCCCCACTGGCATGTTGGAACTGGCTGAAGACTGAAGAAGCCCAGCCTCGATGACTCCACCACCCTTCGCCGAGTCTCGGGTCACAATGAAGGTAGTAGGTCACCTTCCCGGTTGACACGGGGGCTGCCTTCTCTGTCCTGCCCTCCCTTTTAAGGGCCCCTTTATCCTTCCAAGATCTCGGACATGGGTACTGACGGCAAATCCACCTGCCCTCTGGCCACCGGACCCCTTCCTTGCTCATCATAGCCTATAACCCACTCATTCTTAGTCATGCCTTCATGCCCCGTGCCCCTGTTAGGACGAGATATCCTCATCATCCTAGCGGCCACTCTGCCCTTCAGCCTCCCCGCTCCAGCCTCCCTGCTCCTTCCATTCCTGGCCCCCCTCCCTTTACAGGGACACCGATTCCCCACTGCCATGCGTCCTGTCATGGGGCCCTGTTGTCCCAGACCACAGTCACCTAGCTCAGTCTCTCAGTCTCCGCTGTGAATGCCTTATCTCTTTATCTCCTCCACACTGTCCCCTCCTCTGAACTGAAAACTGCTCTGATCTCGACCCATCCCCCGCCACCCTTCCCAAAGGAAAAAATGCAGCAGTTTTAAAATCCAAGCGGCTAGAGGCCTGGGAACAGGCTGCACGACCTGCTCCCTCCCTCCCTGCCTTTTCTCCAGCCTCCAGGTCCCTGGCTTCCACTGCTCCTTCCATTTTCCCTTGGATAGCAGCGTATTCTAACATTTCCTCCCACTTTCACTGCAATACCTACCTCTCTCAGGCTCACCGAGTGCCTCCCGCCATCCCCGAAGAAGATTCGGCGACACCATCCAGGACCTGATGACCCATCATTCCTCACAGGCTCTTACCTGGCAAGCGACCCTCCAATTTTGCTCAGGTTTTTCATATTTTCAGGGGAAACAGATACGGAATGATGAGGGAGTCATCAATTCTACTGTCTGGGATGGGAAATCCTCTAGTGTCACTCTCTACTTACAAACCCTGGACCTACTCCTACGCCCACACTCATCAACACAACTTTCCATCTACTCTCTAACATCAATCCCTCCTCTACATCCTGCTGGATTCGTCTGTCACTGGCTTGAACCCTCATCATAGCCACTCAATTCCAACCTATTGGACCATCTAACTAAATTCTCTCTAGAAATTCGCAGCTCCTGGACCGGACCTCCTGCCCATGGCCTTGACCAGAAGTCCGGGCTACACCAAGGAGCCCCACTTTCCTGAGCCCTTTTGACCCTTCTTGCTCAATCACTGTCTCCTTACTGATCCCCCTCCCCTGGGTACGTATCTCCCATATCTGTCTTTACCCAGGCAATTGCTCCCGAGAACACGAACAGGTTTCTGCCCAAGCCACAGCCGACCGACCAGGACTCCCAGGACCAGCCCTTCACCCTGGTGACTCGGTCCTCCTTAAGAACCTACATCCACAAGCCTTGGAGCCTAGGTGGACGGGACGTCACACTGTAATCCTCACAGCCCCCACTGTGGCCGAGCTGCTTGGTGACCCCAGCTTGACGACCTGTCCATCGTGATCCTTACAACACCCACCGCGGCCAAGCTGCTTGGCGACCCATCGTGGCACCACCTCTCCAGGCTCAAGAGGACCCCGGAGCAGCATGACTTCTATAAATGTGATGTATTGGGTCCCACTAAGGTCCGCCTTAGCCGTCCTCCCCCTCCTTCTCCTCCCGGCCCTGAGCAACCTACACCAACCCCCACCCGCTTATGTGTGGAGATTCAAGGTCCGTGAAACCTACTATCAGAACGGCAAACAAGTCACCCGGCAGGTAGGATCTCAGGACTGCCCTCTAGCGGGATGCCAGACAAGGATGCAGATGGCTGTCGACATCCGGTCAGTGTACCATGGTGGCCGGCCCTATGCTTGTTTTGCTTACGACCAAGAGGACCCAGACAGGTGTAATCAAGAGGTCGACACCTATGGGGGTTGCCGCTGGAGGGGCTGTGTTGTCAATGATGCCTACAGGGGTGGCTCCTTTATCTGGAAGGATGGGGCCTTCCACATCATAATCCAGGATCCCTGGGACCAGCGATGGGTTACGGGTGTCGTGGGAAAGCTATACTTAAGTAGTTGGAGCTCAACCCCCTCAGGGACCATTTACATCTCCCGGGAATATGTCCTGGCCCAAGAGGCCCAAGTCCAGGTCTCCAACAGCATCCTACAGGCCGAACAGTCCCTTAAAGGGAAGCTGCCTGACTCCCCCCGGGTAGAAGTCCTGTCTTCTTGGCTCCAACTTATTCAACACACCCTACTATTCCTCAACGAGACCCACACCCTGCCCAATGTCTCCCACTGCTTTCTGTGTGCCTCTCTCCGAAGGTCTTTGCTGGCTGCCGTCCCACTCACAACTTCTCCAAGGGCCCAAGGGAAAGGTGAATGCCAGCCTCCCGTGGCTGGCATTCCCCTTTGGGAACCTGAAACTCCAGAGCCCACCCTGCCCCCACGGATATGCTACCAGACCAGTAATCCGGTAACTGGGGGACGAGTCACGTGGAACTGCACCCAGAACTACACTGCATCCAGCCTCACCAAGGCCAGTCCGGGTACCTTCTTTTGGTGCAATGGCACCTTAAGTAACTGCATAAACTCCTCTGACCCCGGGCCCTGCTTCATCCTCATGGTAGTTCCCCAACTAACCTTATATGGAGAGTCAGAGCTCGCCTGGCTGCTCCCTCCGTCCCGCCGCCGGACTCGCCGGGCAGCCTTCCTCCCTGTCATGTTAGGGGTGAGTATCGCTACCTCGATAGGCCTTGCGGGGGGGGGGCCCTCGGGAACAGTCTGGTCACTGCTCAGGACTTTAATGACAAGCTCCAGTTAGCCCTGGAGTCCACTACTGCTTCTTTAGCTTCCTTACAGCGACAGATAACATCAATAGCCCAAGTAGCCCTGCAGAACCGGCGCGCCTTAGACCTTCTGACTGCAGAAAGAGGAGGAACCTGCATATTCCTTCAGGAGGAATGCTGTTATTACATCAATGAGTCTGGAGTAGTGGAGCAAAACATACAGACCCTGACTAAGCTGAGTGAAGAACTACATGCAGGACACTTCCAGGACAACTCTCCTTCCGGCTGGTTCCAAAGCCCCTTAGCTACCTGGGTCCTATCCATGATAGGGCCCCTGATTCTCATCTGTGTCTTTTTTCTTCTAGCCCCATGCCTCCTCAAGTTCATCCGCTCCCGGATCGCGGAGATGTCACGGGTGACTGTGAATCAGCTCCTGCTCCATCCCTACACTCTGGCTCCCCTCCGACCTGCCTCTGCCTAACCCTGGCCTTTAACCACCACCCCCCCCTCGTCGTCCCTGTTCAGCTGGAAGCAGTCAGAGAGTCGCCTTCCCTTATCACCAAAAGGCCGGGATGTTAGGTCGGAGAGAGCCCAGGATCGAGCCCAGGATCGAATACATGCAGGCATGTGATGAGACAATGGACTCCCCCTGGAATTTCTCACAGACCTGGGATTTCTCACAGGTCAACGTGCCAGACACAGATGGCTCCTTCTCCCTGAATTCACAGCGATCCCCACACAGATACTGACCCATTCCTGAATGTGCCGCCCACCCCCTGCGGCTGAGACTCCCTCAGTTGAATGTGTGATGATCCCTGCTGAGGACACTTCCTCAGTTCAGGCCCCCGCCCTCACCCAACCGCAGTATAAAAAAGGCGCCCCCCTCCATGTTGGCGTGAATCCACGTGCCCTGTCTTTGTGGGTACGTGGGTCTCCCGGGGACGCAGAATAAACTTTCCTTTCCTTTCTTTTCTGATTCACTGGACTCTATTTCTTGCGCCGCCTCCTGAGCCACCTAACCTAACAATAACATCAGTCACAGGCCATACAGAATTATAAACTTAAAAATTAGCCTGCTATATTTGTTCAGACATTTAACCCATCCCTAATGCCTTAGTAGGGCCAGACCAAAAGATTTCATGGGTCTTATATGGCCCAAGAGCTGGACATTCACCATCCCTGATCTAGAATGTCAGTTACCTCAGTGTAGGTGATGAGTATTGGCTATTAAATACAAGTTAAATACGATTGCACTCTTTCCTTTCCTCCTGCAGCACTCTGCTTTACTGGTTCTACATGTTCTATTAGAAATCTCTATACCAGCATACTTCAACAGCTCAATATTTGGTCTTCCTTCTATATCTAGACTATTTATCTTAATGTGTCACCAATCCTGTGGCATTAAATACCAGCTGCACACTGATGACTACTAACACG